AACTACTTATTTCTAACCCAGTAACTTGAAATGACAAAGTATTCTTTGGATATCACTGTTAAAGCAGATGAGTTCCTTCCGTTCTGTCTGCATAGTGATTCCGGGGCTGGATGTGTGTAGGAAAAAGCTTGTAGTAAGACTGGGGTTTGGGTGCTGGACACAGAAGGGGAGATCAGAGCTGATGGAAAGGCTGGGGGGGGATATAAACTTATTTGAGAGGAATAGCCATTCATGTTGAAGAGGAAGCACCAGAAGAAGAGGGAGGTGGAAGACAACCAGAAAAAAAAGCCACTTCCCACTTAAAGTTTCCCATCCGGAACCTAGGATGTATTCCAGGATTTGGAAGTTCCCTCATTTGTGTGCTTTTTGTCTGTGAAACCCCTGACAAAACATTCTTCTTATTTAGTCCTAGCTGATGTTTCTGCTCTTTTGCTTTTACAGCTTATATGGCTGAAATCTATGAAATAGTTAGCAAGCAGTTTGTGTAAAGAGTGATTTGAGAATAATCATCTTACAAGAGTATAGCTTCATTTCCATCCCATTTATTTTTTAAACAGACATTAATAGGATCACAATAGCAGATAGGTGGATCCTCTTTTAATAGGTTAGTTTACAGGTTAATTAAAGATTATGCTTATGCTATAAAATACATTATTACAGAAGAATATGGCTCTTGAATATGCTGAATCAGTGTAACTGCTCTAAGTCACAGACAAATAGAAAGTAAGTGTAAACAAAATAACTCTAACTAACAGTTCCAGAAGCAGTAGCAGTTGTCACAACGGGATCTACTCAGCTATTCGTATCTGTGCTTGCAGAAAATAAGCTTGCTGCTTCTGTTCTTCAGCTGTGGTATTCAATCAGTATTTGCCTGGCAATTACATTATCTGACAGAAAAAATAATCAGAATATATTTCCTTTTTTTTGTTTTTTAGTCTTATTAACCATTAAAAATGCTTATATCAGTGGAAACAGAATGAAACCATGATGAACAAAGAGATAGCCAATAGCTCATTAAATTGAAAGAAAGGTCCAGCTTTTCTGCCTAATTCAGGCTGTGAATACTTTTTCAGGGTTCACAGAATTAACAGCTCTTTAAATGACTACATTTCCTATAAAACAGAGTAGATTAATTTTTAAACTGAAGTTTGATGAAAATGACCCACTTTTAAAGCCTACTTTGTATATGTATTTGAGCAATTTTAACTTTCAAGAGGTTCTGCTAACCTGTGACAGTATTGCTTGAAATATGCCTGGAGATTCTAGTCGTTCTCTTTGCAAATGCTGGTTTTGAGAAGAAAAACGAGAATGGGGTTGGGGATGAAACACATGAATCACTAAAATAGGGTTGACACAGATTGTCCTTTAGAAATAATATTTTTCTTAGTATGAGTCCTTTCATGTTGAAGGATAAACTGTCCTTTAGAAGTCATCCTATAACAGAAAGCAATTGCAAGCTAGTTTAAACTGTGGACAATGTTACACACCACATTATCTGTTGTAAAAGGACAGGCAAGTGCTGACAGTCAGCGTATCAAGGACGGGGGGAGCTAGGGAAAAATGTTTACGGGGTTGGAAGGAGTGATTTGAAGGAGGGAACATAATCTGGCCTCTAGATCAGATGACATAGACTAAATAAAGCTCTTTCAGACTTGGTGTATGTTGGCTCATTGTCCAGTTGGAGACCAGTAACGAGCGGTGTCCCTCAGGGATCGGTGTTGGGACCGGTCTTGTTCAACATCTTTGCCGCTGACATGGACAGTGGGATTGAGTGCACCCTCAGCAAGTTTGCCGATGACACCAAGCTGTGTGGTTCGGTTGATACCCTGGAGGGAAGGAATGCCATCCAGAGTGTGCACTCGCAGCCCAGAAAGCAACCGTATCCTGGGCTGCATCAAAAGGAGCGTGACCAGCAGGTCGAAGGAGGTGATCCTGCCCCTCTGCTCTGCTCTCATGAGACCTCACTTGGAGCATTGTGTGCAGTTCTGGTGTCCTCAGCATAAAAAGGACATGGAACTGTTGGAACAAGTCCAGGGGCCACGAGGATGATCAGGGGACTGGAACTAGCAGCCTTCCAGTATCTGCAGGGGGCCTATGAGGATGCTGGGAATAGACTCTTCGTTAGGGACTGTAGTGACAGGACAAGGGGTAACAGGTTAAAACTTACACAGGGGAAGTTTAGATTGGAGATAAAGAAGAAGTTCTTTACTTTGAGGGTTGTGAGGCACTGGAATAGGTTGCCCAGGGAAGTTGTGAATGCTCCATCCCTGGTGGTGTTCAAGGCCAGGTTGGACAGAGCCTCGGGTGCCCTGCTTTAGTGTGAGGTGTCCCTGCCCATGGCAGGGGTTTGGAACTAGATGATTTTAAGGTCCTTTCCAACCCTAACTATTCTATGATTCTATGTTTTTTAGGGGTTTCTTTTTAAGAGTACTTTCAATCTTGTCATGAGTATTATACAGAAAACCTTCTCCCAATTGGAAAAATAGTTTTGAGCTATTATTTTGTGTAATATAGGTATGTAAAATGTATATATGTAATATATTATACAATATAAAATACCTTGCTTTCTGAACTATATTTTAAAACCCCCAATATAACAATTTTAATAATTTTAGACAGAATGCAATCTTTCCTGGGTTTGGGTAACACAGATATGTCAAGGTTCTACTTTAACAATCAACAAGAATCAAGCTCTTTTCAGTATTTTTCTTTTGGGAAAACAAGGATAAAAGTTCCACCTAGGTTAATTTGAAGGCTATGAGTCATTCACTAAAATTGTTTATTTTTATATAGTTTGTTCTTAAAGTTTAATAGCTAAGATGAAAGAGCAATAGCAAAATGTAGGATACTTCTTAGTGATTAGTCAGTATTTATGTCTCTCAGATGGCGTATGTTAAGACATAAAATTGTAATCTGATTTTTCCAAAAATAGACATAGCTTAAAAGGCAGCTCAAAACTTAATGAAGAATTATGTGATGAATTCTAGTTAAAAATTTAGCACTATGTTCTGTTTTGGTCTTAAAAATCTTAGTCTGTTGGTTTAAGTGAGGAACGAATCTTGTCAAAACAAGTAGGGTGTTAAAATTGTGATATTAAATTTGATATTAAAAGTGTGATTGGAAATGTGTTACTGAAGTTTACTATGTGTTAAAATAACAGACTTCTGTGATGGCTGCAGCAGTGTTGTGTAACATTCCGGCTAAAATTTCACTATGGAAATCCAGTGTTACACGTGCTAGATGGATTTAAATGTTTAGATTTTTTAATGGAGATTCAACGTCCCATTCTCAATGAGAACCTTCAGGTTTTTTAATGATCTAGTGCTCCTGTTTATGTCTTTTAGTTTGGAAAGAGAATGAGATGTTTGTCAGTAACAGTTGAAGGTAGTACAGAGCCAGTAGAATAGCAAACTGATAAATTTAATCCAACTGTATAGAAGGAAATACTGGAAGACTCCCCAGAAACTTCTTTCTTCCAACTAATCACATTTTATGAATGTGATTTCAAGACTTTCAAGGTCTAATTTGGATATCCTTATTTTTCACAAAAAGCTCATAAAGCAGTCTCATTTATGAGAAGAAGTAGTCACGGTGAGTAAAATCTAAAATGGAGTTTTCTATGCAGCAGAGTTAAGCAACCTGATGAGTTTTAGGCAGTTCTAGTTTTGAACTTTTACGATTTAAATAAAATTCCAACTTGTTGAAATTAAGCTAGCTTGCCTTAAAGTAGAAGTCACATTTTCTCATGACAAAAAAAATCAAACCAGATCCAGCTAGAGCAGGTTACTCAGGGCCTCATCTAGTCAAGCTTTTATTATCTCACAGGTAGAGATTGCACATCCTTCCACTCTGTTCCAGTGGTTTATTATCCTCACAGTAAAATCAAAACCAAACCAAACCAACTTCTTCTTTAATTGAGTTCCAACTTGTCCCTTGCTTCTCATCCTCCCACTGTGCACTCTGAAGGAGAGTTTGGCTGTATCTTCTCTTTACCCTTCCAGTTTAGGTACTTGTAGAGAGCAGCATGATCTTGCCGTTGTAGTATTTTACCTTTTTTGATGGGGGGGGGTAAGATTGGTGGGATGGGGAGTGTTTGTGTAAACAGCTACCCTGAAGATCTTCATTAGTGTTCAGGAATCTTGAAATTGATTAGTCTGAACAAAATGTTCTTTCTTATTGCCGGGGGCTCTAAACTTCCAGTTTGATAGCACAAGGTGATGCAGAATTATTGAAAGAATAATAAATCAACAGTACAGTGTACCAATTAGATTAATTAGATTTCAAAATTTGATGGATAACCATACTAGGGAGAGATGCGAAGCTATGACCTTATTCGTGAGAGGAAAGCGTACAAGGAATTGAGTCTCACTGACATTTAAAGTTCTCTGTGTGTGTGTGTGTATAGCTGGATAGATACCTACTTCGGTTGTCTCTCTTTATCTTGTTCATTGCCTCCTTGAAGCACAATTATTGCTGGACTAATTGCAAAGCTCCTGTTAGTTCACCAAGTTCATTTTTCTCCATAAATCGGCAATATGAGCCCTGGCTCATGCATTTTCTGAGTTAGACTGTGGTTTCATTTTTATTGAATCAGTAACTCTCTGAAGATGGGGCATTTAAGTTTAAAGGCAATTCCTGTTTGTGTTTTCAGTTTTTGATACTACTTTTATGTCTCTTGTAATGAAAAGAGGGCATGTTAAATATTTCAAACGCTGAATATGCACAAGCTTGTATACTGATGCTGAGTGTTGAGTTCTGCCAAAAACACCTTTGCTTGGAATTTGAAAAAGTATTAAGTAAGAAAACTGTGCTGTTTATAATGGGTCTTGATACATATTTGTTAAACTTAAATTCGCAAATGTTAATTGACCATGGTTCCTTCAGTCTGTTCAAATGTTATGGTTCTTAAACTGGAAAAAATACGCTGTTTTAATTATCATGCAAACATCATTTCTTAATTTCCTGCAAATATTAATTATGTCTCTTGCTCTTTTTTTCAGGGAATGTATATCAAATCAACATATGATGGGCTACATGTAATCACAGGAACAACTGAAAACGTAAGCTTAAAGACTCTTATCATACATACAAGTATTTTCTGTATATATGCAGTGAATTTTGTAATATGAAATCTTGCTTTTAATTAAGCCACTTTTATTAATACTTTTTATCTCTGCTCTACATCTGTCATATTGCCTTTTTAAAAACTTGGGACCCTTGAAAATAAGCATAGAAAAATATCTGTGGGGAAGTGACTAATAACCAACAATATAGTAAAATGAAAATCTTGAACTTCTGTTCTAAATGGCTTTTCAGAGACTCCTTTCCAATAGTGTTCATGGTGATGCTCTCTCTGGCACAAAATTGTCCTGTATATTAAGTAAATTTTTCTAATGTAAGAACATCATCACTAGTCTAAAGTGATCTAAAGATCTAATCACTAAAATAATACTTGTATATCAGAGTTGCTGATGAGTGAAGCTGTCCTCTGAGCATCCTTTAGTATGTGCAGTCAGCTTACTTTATGCAGTGAGTAAATGTTGTCATACAATAATGAATACATGTTTGCTAAGAGTTCTTTGTGGTTTTTTTTTCTCAGAATGAACAGTAATTTTATTGTGTGATTTTTCTTTCTAATTACCAAATTAATTTAGAAAGAATGTTAGAGTAATCAGACTTTTGGAGATGATGCCTTTCCTGGAACTGACTCATAGAAAATGAGTAGCTTCTGTATGTATAAGTGATGCGATAAAATAGATTGTAAAATAATAAGTTTTAAAACAGTTACATTATCATCAGCTTGGGTGGATGAAAAACACAGGTAATGGAGAAAGATAATGAAAAATACTGTATTTGATATCAAGCAGGTTATAGAATAATCTTTGATAAAGCAGAGAGTTTTCCAATCTAGCAGTAATTACTGACAGAGCTATCTCTAAGAGGGCAGAAATTGTGGAAAGAAGCAAACAGGTTTTGGTGCATGAGTGGAATGAGATGGATGATTTAACAATGCTAAGAAAACATTAGTTGACAACCCCGTTGTGTGAACATGTATGAAAAGGTTGTTTTATGAAAATAATCATTCATTATTCAGTGTAAGAAAGATTTGTATTAGGATAACTTAAGCACCATTGTATTTTCATATTTTCCATCATGTGTAGTAGAAATACAGAAGAGACCAAGAAAAATGTATTAATTATTATTTTCATTGTAGTCCCAGAAGTGTTAGCCAAAGCACACAGAAATGCTGCTGCGCATGAATCAGTATGACTGATTATAGGAAACTAAACAGTGTGACAAGAATAATAACAAAGGGGCTTCTAAATATCCTCCTTGTTACTTAACTTGCAATTCATAATTAGAAATAAAAAAAAAAAAAAAATCAAATCTCCTTCAACTGCTGCAACCTAATTACCATCACAGCTTTCATAATAGGACCCATCCCTTTTGGTTTGGATATGGTCCTTTAGTCACACTTTACATTCAGTCTTGGATCTGTTAAACAGCACATAGCTGGATAAACGACAAGTTTAGATTTTATAAAGTGAATGTTGAAATTATGTAATGCTGACACCCCGGGAATATAAAATTAGCACTATGCAGCTAACCAAAGCTGTAAATGCTTGCTGTGGTATGCTGGCCCATATGGGTAAGCTTCAACTGTGATATTTCGTTCTACGTGATTTTTATCTATTGGGTAGTATTACAGCACACAGTTCTTGTCACTCAGTGCGAACCCATGGCTGATGATTTGTGTGTCACAATTTGTGAAGACAGGTCTAATGCAAATTAAACTTCCAATTCGTTAGCTTGTTTATATTAATGTCATTGGTGGCAGTTAGAACTATTAAAAGAACTGTATGCGTACCTTGGGTCCTGAAACTTATGAATGATCCCTCTTGATTATGTTGCAGCAGGTTATGTTCATAGATTGGATTACTCGTTCTCTAATTAATACACTTTTTTACTGTAATTCTAATTCATTTGAGAAATATAATGCAGTTGTAGGGAAAATATTTATATACTTATAATTGAAATTCACAGGAGGAATTACTACGTTGCCAGTCACTATAATTTTTATTTTGAGTAAACTTTAGATGTCAAAACTTTTGGTAAGACACCCCCATAAGAAGCTGCTTTTTTGTTTTTGCTAAAAGTATAATCACACCTGAGATAAAGCAGCTTCAAAGACATGTAATTTCTGGTGTTTCAGCAAATTGATTTTTCGTTCCTTTTGAAGGGATAATTGACCTCAGAGCCAGTGTTTACTTTTAATTTTCATAGATAACAAGTAGCTCATCCTCATCAAAGTCAGGAAAGCAGCTAAAAAGAGAAAGAACCAGGCCTCTGCTTGCTTTTCCAGCAAACATCAACTGAAGTTAAATATTCTAAATCATGGTACTTCAGTTTCCTGCTTACCTTTCATTCACTGCTTAGAGCAATCAAGTTTGCATTTACATTGAATGCCAGAAATATCTATCTGTTACATGTCTAGTCCTGTGCAAAACAGCAGTCTGCCAAAATTCTGCAAGCTTCCACTGAAAGGAGAAAGTGACACTGGAATCAGGTAGCTCTTTACACCATCACATTAAATACATAGGTAAAATACTGTTTAATTTAATGCAGAAAGACTCAGATGGCTGGAGTTGAGATGTGGATGCCATGACCATGTAGTTTAGCTCAGGGGCTGGACTCCCCAAGACAGATATAAGAAGCCCTCATGAAAGTTCAAGCAATGATCAAGCAGGTGAGGGGTTGGAACATGGCTTGTGTTGGGGAGTCTGGCCAGAGCATGGTTAGGAATGATAAGCAAGCAGTAGGCTGAAGGTAAAAGCTGGGCTTGGAATCACTATGTCAAATATTGGCTATTTGCCCTGTTGGCTTGTTTTTTCTTACTGATTGAATAATTAATGATGTTTCCTACCCCTCTCCAGCAGCTGTGTAGGCTGCAGAATCTATTGATTAGTCAGCAGGTGCTGACGATGGGAGAGATTTGACATCCTCATAGATGAGTCTCTTTGGCATTTTATTCAGATGTAATTGCAGTAATTTTTTTCCCAGTGGCGATTTAGGGGATTTTAATATTGTTTCCTCTTGTCTTGTTCCTTCTATTTGTTTATCTTATATTTTTAATCTCCATCCACAAAAGGGATGGAAATGATGGGTGGAAATGATGGGTGGAATTTTTGGTTGATGAAGACTGTCCAGCTGGAGAGCTCTTGCCTGTTTCCTGGAAGTCTTTATTGGTACACAGTGAGCTCATGTGTATGAGCTTCTACAAATCACTTTGAGTTCAGATAAATCTTTTCTTCCTCTGCATTTGACACCTGGCTCTTGTGCTGTGAGCAATTTATATATATAGGCTGTCTCTAAAAGAGATCCAGAAACTGAACTAAGTTTTGGTAATGTAACTCCTTTTCTGTGAGGAAATTCTTCAGCAGTATTAGAGCCACTCCACTTTCTGTAGCTGCAAGTGGCTCTTTTCTTGCCTTTGTTAGGAGTCTGCTTACTTAGGGAACTTTAACTGTCAATCCAAGAGTATTTTGCTTTCAATGTTTCTGCATTGTTTAAGATGGGACAGTTTGTCCTCTCCTCTCTCTGACTCTGTATCTAACAAGTAGAGTAAATATTCAAGCTTGTCTAATCTTCTAGCTGGTCTACTTACTTAATAGCTAACTTCCACAGTGATTTACTTCTCAAGGTGATGTCTCAGCTCTTCAAGTATTTCTTGCTTTTTCTCTTAAATTTCAAGTTCTGTCAGTAGCATGCTCTTGTAAGCTAGTGTCCAATGCAAGTAAGTTGCCTTGAATTCTCAAGTCTCTCCTTCTGGGTATGACTGCTGATCTCCTGCATGCCTTACAGATTTGTCTTAGAGATACTTGTACTTCCCACAGAGAGGTAAAGAAGCTAGAATAATTCAACCAGTCAAAAAGGCTGTTCACCACCCGTGGAAATGGGATTCTAGATTACTTCATCAAATTGCCATCTGTAACCAATAAAAACATAGTTACTTATAAATATGGGTAATTATTGCTATTTGATAGCAATAATACTTCTTTGGGCGCAGCTTTTTTGCCTCCATTGACATCCTTTGTTTTAATTTCTGCTCTTCCCTTCCCCCTCCATACCACCCATGTAAAGTCAACTGTTGTCTCTTGTCCTTAGTCTCCTGCTGACCAGTGTAAGAAGATCCATGCTGGTGATGAGGTGATCCAGGTCAACCATCAAACTGTGGTAAGTGTTTTGGAAATTCTGTTCTGCAGCCTTTGCCCACTCCCACTGCTAAAAAAGTCATAATTCTTCTTAGAAGGTAACTTTGCTAAACTATATTAGTATTTGTGTCTCTTAAAATACCATAACCAATGCTTATGCTTCCTAAGAAAAAGCACAAGTTGAGTCAGTAACCAGCCCGGCAGGATTAAGCCAAATTTTTATTTTGAGCAGTTGCTGTTCAACATTATTCTCTTATATGAGGAGATCCCAGAATATTTCATTGAAACTTAGACTTCTCATTACAGATGTGCCAGCTAGTTTAAGTTCTCTTAAACAGAATTTTAGATTCTCTTTAATACAGAATTTGGATTAAAAATGCAGAGCTGCTGTAACAGACATATATTGTGAATCTTTTGGGGAAAAAACATAAAGACAATTGAAGTGTTGATAGAAATTTTGTCAGGATTTTGCTTTTGTGCATTCTTGTTTGCTGATTTATTTTTAGGCAGATGAACTGTTAGCAAAACTATTAATCTGTTTAAAATCACATAAGTGTGTATGAGAAGTATATGCTGAACCTCAGGTATTGCTGTACATGGTTTGCCTGCATTTAAATGTGCCTGCCATTTCATTTCTTTCACAGCTGTGTGCTGTATTGTGTGCTGTATGCACACAAAACTACATTTCATTTTATGTGGAAATACAGGAATATGTTTCTGCAGCATCCATAGAATTTTATTCTGACTTAAAACACATGTGACTTCACTGAAGAATTAATAATTTCATTTTAAGATTAAATCATTTGTAATTGAGCTCTAAAAGCCTATCACAGCCTTATCCAAGGTTGCGTGATTCTTTTTTCTTCCTATTTTTTGATGACATAAACTGCTGCCTTATATGTCATGTTAGTTACAAATCTGGTCATTACTAAAGGGAATGCAGTCACATTTTGTCCCAGTATTATCTTATTTCATGAGGAACTGTCTTTTTTAAAAAAATGAAATTGTATGTTGCAGAAAAATGGAAGCATTGTTGATGGGACTACAGGAACACTTGTATTTATTACTTATTAGGCATGAGTACCATTTCGACAATGATAACTTCCTAAAGTGCTTACAATGTGGACATTTAACTTTGTCTTGCTGAACCCCGTCTCCAAACACAGCAGCAGCAAAATTAAGAAATCTCCTTCTGTCTGGGAGGTGGAAATATGAAAGTCTAAACTATTAAAATCTTATGATTAGAGAGCAAATATTTTCTCTTTAAAAGAATATAACTTATTCATTTACACTTTAAATATTCATGCAATGGGCAGCTCTTAACTATATTAGAGAGGTTCTACGAGTTGTCATAGTTACAAGTTGAAATATGCATTAGACTGGTTTTCTCCATCAAACATACTCTTCAAGTGACAGGCCTGGTTTAATCTTTACTCCCAGAAGTGAAATCCCCTTATTCAACTACTCAAGAATTGGCTTTCTGGGTATGAACTCTTTCTCTGTGTGTTGTTACAACAGGCCCAAGGCGCATGATACTTGTTATCCCTTTCCAATGGAGGGCATGGTACCAACAGCTGAGCCAAGTGGCAAAAAGTACCTCTTTCTGAAAAAAAAGCCCTACTATGAAATATTCATTCTGAAGTTTATAACAAGCAAAGAGATAAATGACAAGCTGTTTCTTTCAGAAATTTATTCTTCTTTTGAAATGCCTGGGAAAATCTCACTCTTGTCTTCACTGTGACTTTGGAAAATCAGACAGTAATAGCGTTTGGATGTTGTGATGATCAATATCTTGCTTATAATTGCCATTATTTCCATTAGTTCACTAGAATAGTTCAAAGGCAACAGCTCATTAAGTTTCCATGTAATTAATATTTTAATACTAGCAAAACCAGCTCATGAGGTGTAACCCACTGCTTTCATTTTTCCTTCAACTTGTTCTGGGGCTGAAAAAGTGGAGTGTTTTTTCTCTGCTGTATAATTCTGTTGAATTAATTTCATATGAAGCTTTTAGCATTGCCCTGTGAAGGGACAGTTTTTTACGTTTAGTATCCCAAATACTTCTTGGGTTGACAAAAATTTTCAAGATAGTTAAAGTATGATTTACAATATATGTATCTGGTGAAATCCATGGTCTCCAGTCTCATATTAGTTTTCCACAGAGACTCTACTTAAAGCATTAAAAATCTAGGTGACAAAAATATAGGTCTTAGTGTAATCTCTTATTTCTACTTTTACCTGTTTATTGGTAAGGGAGGATCCATGCTTTCATGAAATTTATACACAGGTTAAACTATATGATGTAAAGATGCAGAAATACATTTTGTGCAGATACTTGTATGCTTCAGAGACTCTGCATCCAACAGATTTTATCTTTGTTGTTTTATCAGAGACATTTTCTTAAGATTGAAGTTTCTGTAGCTCTTTGGTAGTCCATCAAATACAAATCCCATTCAACACAACGTGATTTGAAAGAATCTGTTCTGAAGGTGATTAGATATAGTCATTTTGTATTGCCACTGTTGAAAATACTTTACTGATAAGAGAAAGTATGCATCTCTTTTAATAGATTCCAATCCTATAACTGAATACTGGTATCATTTAATCTGATTTTACTGAACTAGCCCAAAGTATTTTCTAGATGAATTCATATTTGCTCATTTAATGAGATCATTTGAGCTTTAAAACTTCTATTGATGTTCCTACAACTTGTAATAAATTGTCACCGTCGTTAATTATTCTCATTTCTGGGGAAAAATAAAAAAGTCATTTTAATTGTAGTCTACATTTGTCTGGCACAAGCTTCCAGTGTGTATTTTTATCCATTAGATTGGAGAGTGGGTTTCTCATTTAGGTATTTTCAGGATTCAATCAAATTACCTCTTCGCACTTTTTTGGTGAGCTAGGTAATTTGAGCACTTCTAGTTTGTCATCCTAATGCATGACCTTCCTCAACAACCTCTTTAAATTCCCAACTGTAATACTTTGCATATTTAGCACAGAGTTACAGAACTCTCCAGTGAAAGCATTCATTCATGGTTAGGGTGGTACTCCTGTGCTAAAATAGTACCAGGGAAACTACATTAATGTAGCCATTACCAACTAGCTGTTTATTCTTCCTTACAGGTTTGTGTTCATTTTTCATTTATACATGGGCAAAAATGAAACTGAGACCACTTTTACTTGGTTTGTTTTTTTTTCCTTTAAAACCAAAACTTGTAATTCCAGTTTGAACTCTTTCCATTAGGAAGCCCATTTTAACAGAAGAATCTGTGAGAGGACTAAGCTCTTAAACAGGTTTAAGAAGATGTAACTTGGAAATAGTTGTACTGTCCCTGCATTTGAGCGGAGTCAGCACAGATAACAGCATTTCTAATCCTGGAAGCACTTCTCTGGGGCTGCATGGCTATAGCAGAGGATTAAGTGTGCTGACAGTGTCAGTCCCATTGAATTGCTGGATGTATGAAGTGAAGCATTTTGGAATTTATGTGATGAGAACAACTTAGCTGTATGTTTTCCAGATTATTACCTCCAATTAATATAATCATGGAATCATAGAATCATAGATTAATTAGGGTTGGAAAGGACCTTAAGATCATCTAGTTCCAACTCCCACCTCACACTAAACCATGTCATCCAAGGCTCTGTCCAGCCTGGCCTTGAACACTGCCAGGGATGGAGCATTCGCAACTTCCACTTTCTTTAAAGCCTTATTTGTATTGAGTAAGAAATATCAGATAGCCAGGAGGTAGCTATATTCATTTTTTTTTCTGAAACCATGTATATTAACAAATATATTAAAAATATTAACAAACTAAGACCACTTGCTTTGCAAATAACTTTTCAATGTAGTTGAGAGTTAGAAAAAAATAAGGAAAAGAGTTCAGAATGTATCAAAGGAAAGCAGCTTACGAATTATACAATGCAACCATTGCAAGAGTTAGAGATAAAAGACTTAAAATGTGGAATCTGGTCTGACCAAGAAACACTTTGTAATACAATTAAAAAGATCAAAGAAAAAAATAATAGTACTTTAAGCAAGAAATTAATTAAATCAAGCGATTCACCACTGGCTGTTAAGATCATTTAATCATGATCCAATTTCCTTATTTGCTTTTCTGCTTCTTGTTCTTGCTTATTAGATTTTAGTAAAACAGCATAAGAAACTTTAAAAATAAGTTATACATTCCAAATTACTGCCATACTATTTTCTCCCTACAGTAACAACAGGCAGTAGTTCTGCCTTTTGTAGATTTTTACTTTCTCTCTCATAAAATTATAAAAAAGTGCTGAAGATGCCACTGTACGTTTCTTTGCAAAATTAATAATGACACTTTAGGTTCTGTGGATGCTATATTTTCTGCTGCTTAGCTGAAATAGTGAATTTCATAGGTTTTTTAAGATAAATTTATACACAGAACATAACTCTTTAATCAGAGAATTGAGACTGTAATGCAGTTAAAATAGTTTAAAATTAAAGCTAAGATAGTCACTAGCCAAGAAACACTTGTTTCAATTTTCCATAACTTGGATAGTGTTGAGCATAGAACAAAGAGAAGAAAACCAGTCATAACAAATGTATAGGCATATGCATACTCAAAATGTAAGCAAAGTTGGATAACTTAATCCAAAATCATCCACATCTGAGTTTATTGAAGATACTGAAGCTTTATATTGCAAGTCCCTAAGCACAGACTTTTTAATGAATAGTCTGCTTTAGGATAATATTGTATGCTGGGAAAATTTAATAAGGCAACACTTGCTAGTCAATACTTCGCAAGATTTTTAGGTAGCTTAGAGAGGAAAGGATAACTAATGACATGAAGGAAAATGCATGTGAAGTGAAATGCAGCATCAATTCATGAAAATTAAATAGTGCTAATGTTCCACCTTTGACAGTTTTTCAGACATAAGAAATATTGCAGATCCAAACAAGTATTGATCTAGCTGCCTGACCATCTGTAAAAAATCTGATCTACTTCTGTATAGAAAAGTGTTTGATAACCTGGGGAAAACTGACTT